CTTGCCTAGCATGTATGAGGCACTGGGTTTGATCCTCAACACCACATACAAAACTAAACAAAATAAAGGCATGCTGTCCATGTACAACTACCATAATAATAATAAATCTGGACTTATAGTGTGTGGGATTCTCTGGGGTCTCCACCATTCTGCTCTTTCTGTTCCAGGAGTCAGCTCCAGGTAGCACACTGCTCTTAGTCATCATGTCTCTCGTGATCTGTGGCAGTTTCTCGATCTTCCCTTATTTTTCATGGCCCTGGCAGTTTTGAGGAGTGATGCTCAACCTTGTAGAATGAAGGGGTGTTTTGTCGAATGTCCCTGTTCTCTAGGGGTAATGCTCAGGGTTTGGGGAGGAGACCACAGTGTGGAATGCTCTCTCACTGCACCCCTGGCCCAGGTGGCACCTGCTGGTTCTGTCCACTGTGAGCAGCATCTTTCCTCTTCTGTACTTGGCTGGTTAGAGGCCACTACACCACCCAGTCCCCACTGTGCCCACAGAAGTGTGCCTGGAAGACACCCATCCATGCAGAGTGTGTAGGGAAGAGCCTTGGCTGTTGGATCACAGGTCTCTGCACCTGAAGACCCTGCAGAGACCTGCAGCCCACTCCTGTGGACTGGCTGACCTGAGGCATCCACAGTCAGCTTCCTGCTGGGGCTTTTTTCTGGTCCCACACCTCTGGAAGCCAGCCCAGGAGGGTCTGCTGTATGACACCATTTCGGAAGCGGCCCTGGAGGGTGGGACTTGTGTTGGACATCATGGACCCAGTGAGCTTCCAAGTGGTTTAGCCATGAAGGGGATCCCAGCCCCACAGGGGAAGTAGAACCACCCAGCTGAGCCATGCCAGCACAAGAGGTTAGGGCAGAGGACCACCCTTGCTGGTTTAAGACCCTGTGTTCAGAGTGCTTGCTGATGTGGTAAGAGAGCTGGTACCAGCCCTTGGCTCCCCTAGATTGGCTTCCATGGGCCAGAATCATAGTCACTCTCACATTGTCTTGGCTAAGTACAGTCCTTGTTAAGCACCAGCATCTAAACAGCAGAACTCCATTGGAGAAAACGCATGACCCTACTCACAGCCCTTCATGTGATGAAGCACATCACATCGGGCAGGCCACGCTGTCAGGCCATCCTGCAACACTCTCCTTGACCAGCTGCCCCCCATTCCTTGAGAAAACTGCTTCACATCTTCTTCCCCCTCCCCGCTGAAATTCTTCTAATGCATTAGGTGTGATGGCACACACCTGTAATTTCAGTTACTCAGGATGCTGGGGCAGGAGGATCACAATTTCAAGGTCAACCAATGTAGCAATATAAAACAGCTGGGGGTGTAAGTCAATGGTACAGCACCCCTGGGGTCAATGCCCAGTACTACAAAAAAATAAAAGTTTTTAAAAGTACTGAGGGTGTAGCTCCCTGGTGCAGCACTTGCCTAGAAGGCACAAAGCCCTGGGTTCCATCCCGCACCAGGAAGAAAAACAAGGCCTTCTAATACCTCTACCTTCAAAGCTATGCTCGTCTTACTAGAAAACCCCCAAGTGATGACAATTTAAACTGTGGAAAGTTTTCCCTTTCACAGAGTGTCCAGTGTGAGCCCTCCAGGGTCAGCTCTATGGGCAGCCCCAGTTGTCCAGCTCCACAGATCCATCTTGTTGCCATCCTCAGCAACATTCCACATCCACATCGTGCCTCAGCTGGCTGCTTGGGCTGCAGTCGGCAGAGACTGGAAAATACAGTCTGTTCTGTGTGACCATATGACTAAACAGAGAGGGTGAGTACTTGACTAACTTGTGTAAGGCCCCCATCACCAAAAAATAAACAGTACCTCCTAGCTCAGAACTCCAATTCCCAGCCCGGCCTCCCATGGCCACTCGCCCAGGCCACACACCCTGCTGTCCCAGGGAATTGCTGGGCTTCTCAGCCCATATCCAGCCAGGAAATTCTGTGGGCTTTGCTTTTCAGCAGAATCTTTATCCTCCCCCTCTGACCTGCCTGGTCCCTTCTTTCTAATCATAATTCCTACAGTCTCTGGATCTTCCTGATCACTCTTTTCCTTTTCATAGGGCCTCTCTGCTAACAATCCCCAGTGGTTTCCCACTGCAAGGACTAGATGTGGGGGTCTCTCAACCCCAGGTTCCTTCCCCTGGCCCTCTCCCTCTTTATTTTGGAGTGCTGAGGACTGAACCCAGAGTTTCCTATGTACTAAAAATGTGCTCTACCATGGAAGCACACGTCTCCACATTGTCTGGAACCCCACAGATTAAGTAGCTGGTCCTGGGTTCCAGGGACACAATGCCCAAGCCCTGAGTCAAAAACAAGCTAAACAGAGTTGGGCCCAGGGGCACTGCCTGTAATCCCAGCAGCTCAGGAGGATAGGAGGATCATGAGTTCAAAGCCAGACTCAGCAAAAGCGAGGCGCTAAGCAATTCAGCCAGACCCTGTCTCTAAATAAAATAACAAATAGGACTGAGGATGTGGCCCAGTGGTCAAGTGCCCCTGAGTTCAATCCCTAGTACCCTGCCCCCCCCCAAAAAAAAAAGCTGAACAGAGAGCACATGCTCATGACAAGCACCATTCCTCCTGGGTGTATGAGCCTACTACCTTCTCTGCTCCCAAGCAGCCCCAGCACCCAAGAGGCATCAGATGCCTGAAGCAGAAGCTGGGGTGCTCTGCTGGGCAAGGGGGTTCCAGAATGCCCAGAGAGCAAGTGTCAACAGGTCTTTCATCCTAGGGGAGGACTCTGGAGGCTATTCCCTAGGAAGTGTGCAACAATATCTCTGCACTGCAGTTCAGGGTGCACCCGTACCTGAGGGCTTGTCCTCCCTGGCTCTGCCACGTCCCCTAGCCACCTAGCCAGACTGGACCCATCAGATTCTGGCTCCTGGATCCCACTGTCTGTAGCCAGGCAGGACAGGTTAAGTGCTGCTGGCCAAGAGGGGCGACAGTCCTAAGCCTGTCCTGTGATCATCAGCCTCCTTGAGTCTCAGCTACACGAACTCTCTCTTCTAACCCCTGCTCTGGGGTTTGCTGCAGCCTCTGGAGAGGACAAGGTCCTGAGGCCCTGAGAAGCCTGCCCTAGGGGAGGACTCTGAAGGGACTCCCCCTACCAGACAGACAAAAACAACTTGGTGGAAGCTAGAGGCAGCTCTATTCAGAGAAAGACCAGTGAGCAGGACTGGCCTGAGTCCACCGAAGGGCAGGGGTGGAATGAGCTACAGGCAGGATGGGAGGATGTAGGGGATAGGACCATAACTGTAGGGGGCAGGCCCAGGGTCACACCTCCAGGTCAGACTGAGAGCTGCTTGGCCTGCTGTAGACGCCTTTCTTGCGAAGAACGATGCCTGGGCTAAAGGAGGCCCCCAGAGGCCAGTGACGGACCACATGCCGGTAGGAGGTAGCCAGATAGTCGAAGTAGTTGATGTTGAGTTTTCTAGCGATGTAACGGCCTAGGTACTCCATTTGCTGTGGGAGTGTATAAACAGGTCGTGGTGCCAGGCCCTTAGGTGTCCCCAACCCTGCCCCCCAGCCACTCAAGCTATATTTACCCTCTGCGGGCAAAATCCCCCATCCAATGACCCTAAACATGGTCTGTGTCATTATGTCCAGAGAAGGGAGTTGTGTCTAGGGCAGAACCCACCTCATAGCGCTCCGACAGCTGCACCAGCACCAGCGGTTCCAGCTTATGGCCGCAAAGGACCAGCTGAAAGAAGCACCTTCCGTAGGCTAGGGAGCAGTGAGCGATTCAGCTGGGTTGAGTCTCTGAGGGCTGGGTCTCTGGGGCAGAGCAGCAGGTCCCTGCCTGCCCCCACCCACTCCCAGGTGGTTATCCTCTCCCTCACACACCCTCCCCAAGCCCACCCATCCCAGGTCACCATCAGAGCTGAGCGCCAGGCGCACGTAGACCAGGTGCATGGACCCCTGGCACACGGTGCGTCCCTGGATAGAGAAGTGGTACATGCCACGCGTGTGGTTCAGCACCAGGCGGCGCCGCGGCAACGATGAGATCACAAGCCACAGGCCCACGACCATGCCATAGGCAGGGAAGCCCCAGGTCTCCTGCTTTTCCACCTGCGGGTACCAGGAACCAAACCAGAGGCTGCAGGCTAGGGCTGCAGGGTGCAAGGAACAGCTTGGTCCGGCCCTCAGGGGATAAGGGTCATGGGGGTGGGGTCCAGGACTCGACCTGTCTCACAAAGCCAGAGCAGACCAGGACCAGGCAGATGACAAAGAGCAGCAGTCCCTTCCAGAGTGTGTCCAGGTAGTACTCAAGCACGAAGACTGTAGGTGGACCGGCAGTGCGTGTGAGGACAAGGGGTGGGGAGGGTGTGGTGTGGCGGTGGTGGATGGGCAGTGCCGGGCTACCGTCTAGCGGCTGGGTACACCTGCCCGCCCCGCCCCTGAGCCCCTGCGCAGGGCTGAGGCCCCGCCCCACACACCGCCTGGCTGCTGCTGCGTGAACGGGTAAAAGCTGTTGTTCTTGAGGCGCTTGGCCAGGTGGCGCTCTGTGCACAAAAATCCCAGGGCCCAGAGATGGAAACGACTTCCGGCAGAGGTCGTGGGCAGGCCACTGCCCTGGCCCTTGGGAACCTGTCAGGTAGAGGTGGTCAATCTGGCGGCCAGTTCACTGACATCGCCCAGTACCCGCAGTCGTGCTCATACCCGGGAGAAAAAGGCCTCCAGGGCTGCGGTCCAAGAAGGAACAGGTACTCTCTGGCAGTGCTAGGGCAGCAAGCCAGGTACCATCTGAGCCACACAGGAGTTCTAGAAGTTCTGGGGCACGTTCTAGAAGGGGCTGCTCTGTTAACTATCCCATCTCCGTGGGTGTGTAAGAGTACTTGGCAATCCCTGTACAGCCACTCAGTCCACACTGAGGGGTGGACAGCTGGACATACCCAGGGACAGCTCACTCAGTGCCTTTTTTTTTTTTTGTACCAGGGATTGAACTCAAGGGTGCTTAACCATGAGCATCCCCAGCCCTTTCTACTTGTTCAGACAAGGTCTAAGTTGCTGAGGCTGGTTTTAAGCTTGTAATGCCCCTCTGCTCAGCCTCCCCAGCTGCTGGGATTTCAGCATGCTTGACCCAGCTCACTCAGTGTCTTGAGGTGGGACACACAACAGTCCAAAGTGTGAACCCAGCAGAGACCAGGTGCAGCCCAGTCAGGCTTCAGGGGGTCCCCACATACCGACTCCTGCCTGCTGCAGCCTACAATGCTCCATCAGATGTAACCCTGTTTCTCACCCAAGGACCACACAGAGTTCCTAAAAATATTTTACTGTAACAAAATGTTTAAACATCCCAAACTGGGAAAGGGTACAGGCAGAGCTGGAACTGCCTAGCTGGAGGAGGAGGGGCTGGTGAGTAGCTGCTCCAGACACCACTGGACTTCCTCTAGGCCTCGGTAGGCACGCTTCAGGCCCCTGGGGAGGCAGCGGCAGGATTCCAGGTTGAGGTATAGCAGGCCAGGGCAGCTACTGATCACAGAGCTGTGGGTAGGGCAAGTCGTGGGAAAGTAAGCTGCTGCCAGGAAGATGCAGGCCCAGAAGGCTGGGCTCAGCCAGGGATCCCTGTTTGCCTATGCGCTACCCCTGGCCTACTACCCACAGCTAACTAGGCTCAAACCTAGCACCCTTAGTGTTCCTAAGGCCAAGTATCCACTCCCTCCTCCCAGACCTCGGGGGTACTGAGCAAGGTGGCACACCAGCTCTGGGCCACAAGCAGTACTAGCTTCAAGGGCCTGGGGGATGGGTGCTAACCTGATCGTGCTTGCTGTAACCCGGGTACCCCTGAGGTTAAGGGAGCACAGGGCTGGGTGGGTGCCTCCATGGGTGCCAGAGAAGGCAGCTAAGGCTTGCTCCAGGTCCTTTTCACTGAAGCCCTGGCCACTCAAGTCCAGTTCCCGCAGGGTGTGATGCCACTTCTGAGTCAACAGGGTGCTGCCCTCCTTAGCTAGAGCCAGCCGGTCAGACACACCATACAGGCCCAAGTGCAGCTGCTCCAGCTCTAAGGTGACAGGAATGGTGTTGGCCACAGGAAAAGCAAGGGTCCCCACATCCCACCTGCCCAGCCACCAAATAGGACAGTTGACCTTTACATGGCAGATCACGCAGACCAGCAGGCGTGATGCGGGCACAGCCACGAAGATCCAGCAGGCGCAAGTTGGGGGAGCCATGGAGCAGGCGACTCAGGACATCGTTGCTCACAAAGTTGCAAGTGGAGCTGGCGAGGCAGAGCTCCTCAAGGTTGGGGAAGCCTGGTCCCAGAGCTGCCCCTCGCCCAGAAGGCTTAGGCAGCCACATCAAATTCAGCAGCCGCAGTACCTGGGGACAAGGCTCAGGCTGCAGGTGGGGATGGGGTGGCAGGTGTAAGAAGCAAGTCATCAGGTACCTGCAGCTGGGGACAGCCTTTCTGCAGAGCCTCAATAGGCAGCAGCAGAGGAGTGTTGTTGCGGTTGAGGCCGGTGCTCAGCTCCAGGACCTGGAGCTTGGGGCAGCAGCTGCCCTGCAGGAGTGGGAGAGTATACCTGGGTCACCAGCCTGGCAGTCCCCAGTTTAGCATTTGGCTCTGCTCCTGCCCGGTCACCAGCCTACCAGAAGTGCACCCAAGATGGCTGTTGTCTGGGAACTATAGGTCAGCCACAGCTTGCGCATTCGGGGTCCAGCCTCCTCCAGAAAGCTCACTACAGCTGTGGACTCCACCTGGGGACCCAACACAGAGCTACTTGTCACCTCTACCTAGGCTTCTTCAGGGTCCCTTGGGACACAGGGCTCACCATGGAGTGCTGTAGGTCCAGGCTGTGGAGCTGGTGGCAGGCTTTGGCTAGCATGATGAGAGCATCCGTGGTCACACTGTGGCAGTCTGAAAGCTTGAGAAAGGTGAGCCGAGGGCAGAACTCACGAACCAGCTGTGGGAAAATAAAGACCGCCTGGGTTTGGGGTAAGGTAGGTGAATGTCCACAGGAAAGACAATGATGGCCATGCCAACCCACTCTATGACCCCTGTTATAACCTGCATTCTTCAAAGTGAGGCCTACCTGGATGCCCTACCTCTAACCACCCCCTACCAGAGATGAAAACAGGAAAAGAGATCCAAGCAGGCAGGCGGGCATGCTGTGGGGCAGCACTGGGCTACTCCCTCCAAGGACACAGCTGGTATGCAGGCCAACTTCTAGCTCTCACCTTCAAAACTGCATGCACCTGCGACTTCCAGTGGATGAGGGTCAGTTTCTGGAGCTGTGAAAAGCTGGGCAACAGCAGAGGCCCAATTACACTAGGTTCCCATGCTGCGGTGACCAGCATCCTCCCCACCCAACACTGGTGCAGGAAGGCACAGGCAGAAAAGGGAGTAAGGGCCACAGGGGATTCTTACCGATTGGGCATGAGCCACTCCAGAGAAGCAAGGAGCTTCTTCTCCGCCTTGACGCTGCCCTTGACACCGCGGCCAGCCAACGGGGGCGACAGGGTTACCGTCTGCCAGAGAGCGGGCTGGGAAGCTGCCTCATGCCAGTGGCGGCACACGCGCGCAGCCCTGGGGGAACAGACTACTAAAGGCGCCCGGCGTTTCACGGGTGAAGCTGCCTACCGGGAACTGAAATCAGGACATTGAACTCTACCACTGAGCTACATCGCCAAACCCTCGCGATGGGTTTCCTAAGAGAGGCCGACATGCCCCTGCACTCGCAGTGCGGTGGCCACCCCAGCTCAAAGCCAGGCTTCTGGAGCTACAAATGAGAAATCCTGCGCTGCGGGTGGGTGCCAAAACACTAGTGTACGCGTTCTCAGATGCTTTCGCTCTCAAAATCCAACTCAGGTCTGCGCTGGGGCCGGGGGTGTAGTGTACCTGCCAAGAAACGGCATGGGCCCATCGGCGGCCACTAGCAACCCGAAAATCTGCACCAGGACCTCCAAGGGAATGCGATCTCCCCAGCCCGGGTCCGGCCCCTGCTCCGGGCCGGGAACCGGCTCAGGAGCCGGCTCAGGTCGGGGCCTGGGCCTGGGCTTGGCAGTTGCGGCGGGGCCCGAGGGCTGTGGCCGCTGCGCGCGGCGGGTGATGCGCCTGTGCGCGCGGGCGCGGGCGCGGACAGGCCCCGGGCCCGGCAGCACGAGCAACATGCTGTCTGCCTGAAGCAGGTGGTATTCAGAGCCGCTGGGCGCCAGCCGATCCCACCACCAGTCCTCGGCCGAGCGAGCCCGCGCCCCGGTCAGTCTCCGGCCGGGGGTTCTGCGCCAGGATCTGCGCCTGGCTCGCCTGGGGTCCATGGCCACCGACCGCGCGGCGGAGGAGCACAGAGGAGCGGAAAGACGGGGCTGGAGGAAGCGGGGGTCCACTGACCCCTGGCTTCCTCTCCGGCTGGGCCCGGCGCCCGTCGCAGAACTCGGCTTCCGGGGCGGAGCTTCCGCCGCGAGCCCTGGGGGCGGGCCGGCCTGGGCCACGTGAGTCGGGGCTGAGCGTAGCAGCCGGCGTCCCGCCCTGCTGGCCGCGTCCCCGGCCCCGGCGGCGTGCTCGCGGGGCTGGAAGGCCGCTGCGCCGACAGCGCGGGACCCACGCCCCCGACCACGCCCTCGCCGGCAGCCCTGGGTCGCCGCAGCCCAAGGTGCGCGCAGCGCTGGGGCGGTCGTGGGGAGAGGGTGGTGGTGGTTAGTTAACGCAGAGCGCTGGTCCTCCGAGAGTAGCAGGGTCAGCGCCGTCCTTCGCCCTCTTCCTGGCCACGCCTTGGACCGGTTTCCTGATTCTCAGCTTGCTGGCCTTGCTGTGTCCTGGTCTCCGAGAGGGCTCTGTGGTATGTGTAGCTCCTGACTGCCCCGCGGTGGCCTGTCCAGGTGCTCTGTAATGGTTCTGCCCTGCACGCCTACCTTTTTCCTTCCAGCTGGAAGGGGTCTTCAGTTCCCAGAAGAGCCAACGCGTCTTGGAATCTAAGTGGGTAAAGAACCGTCTGTGACCTTCACCCTAACTGGAGGGCCTTCATTTGGCCCAATGGCTGCACCTCCGCTGGGCCGTCTGGTGCTAACCCACCTGCTGGTGGCCCTTTTCGGTGTGGGCTCCTGGGCTGCGGTCAACGGAATCTGGGTGGAGCTGCCCGTGGTGGTGAAAGACCTCCCCGAGGGTGAGTGGAGGTGGGGTGGGCGTTGAGCCCGGGATGGTGGGCAGGCTGCTCTTTGCCCCTCAGCCTGGTGCCCCTGACAAGACCTCCCCCCACCCCCCTGCAGGTTGGAGCCTCCCCTCGTACCTTTCTGTGCTTGTGGCGCTGGGGAACCTGGGTCTACTGATGGTGACCCTGTGGAGGCGGCTAGCTCCCGGCAAGGGGGAGCGGGTCCCCATCCAGGTGGTGCAGGGACTAAGTATGGTGGGCACAGCCCTGCTGGCCCCTCTGTGGCACCATGTGGCCCCAGTGGCGGGGCAGCCCCACTCAGTGGCCTTCCTGACACTGACACTGGTGCTGGCGTTGGCCTGTTGTGCCTCTAATGTCACTTTCCTGCCCTTCCTGAGCCACTTGCCACCTCCTTTCTTGCGGTCTTTCTTCCTGGGTCAGGGCCTCAGTGCTCTGCTGCCCTGCATACTGGCCCTGGTGCAGGGTGTGGGTCGCCTTGAGTGTCTGCCTGCCCCAACCAATGGTACCCCTGGGCCCCCCATTAACTTCCCTGAGCGTTTTTCTGCCAGCACATTCTTCTGGGCACTGACCGCCCTCCTGGTCACTTCAGCTGCTGCCTTCCAGGGTCTCCTGCTGCTGCTGCCTCCTTCACCACCATCTGTACCCACTGGGGGCCCCGGGCCAGGCCTACGGGTGGGAACACCAGGAGTGGAGGAGGAGGAGGAGGAGGAATCACCATTGCAGGAATCCCCAAGTCAGGCAGCAGGCACCCCCCTCCCAGACCCCAAGGCTTCTCAGCTGTTCTCAGTCCGGGGTGCCTGCCTGCTGGGCCTGCTGGCTGTCACCAACGCACTGACCAACGGTGTGCTGCCTGCAGTGCAGAGCTTTTCCTGTCTGCCCTATGGGCGCCTGGCCTACCACCTGGCTGTGGTGCTGGGCAGCTCCGCCAACCCCCTTGCCTGCTTCCTGGCCATGGGCATACTATGCAGGTGAACATTGGCCCCAAGCTTGTTGGTGGGGGACAATGTAGGGGTAGGGTCCTGATCCTGGCTCAGCCAGTCCTGAGTTCCTGCCCCTCTCTGGCAGGTCCCTGGCAGGGCTGTGTGGTCTCTCTCTGCTAGGCTTGCTCTTTGGGGCCTACCTGATGGCACTGGCAATCCTGAGCCCCTGCCCTCCCCTAGTGGGCACCTCTACAGGCGTGGTCCTTGTGGTAGGTACAGTGGGTCATGAAGTGGGGAAGGGGATTGCCCCTGCACAAGAGCATCTCACACTCAGCCTGCTGCTGTCATCTGCCTCTCAGGTGTTGTCGTGGGTGCTGTGTGCAGGTGTGTTCTCATATGTCAAGGTGGCGATCAGCTCCATGCTGCACGGCGGGGGGCGGCCAGCACTGCTAGCGGCTGGTGTGGCCATCCAGGTGGGCTCCCTGCTCGGTGCTGTTGCCATGTTCCCTCCCACCAGCATCTATCACGTGTTCCACAGTGGAGAAGATTGTGTGGACCTGTGTGGTCCTTGAGCCTGTGCAGGTGGGACTGTCCACCCACCCCCCAACCTCCCACCTCCACCTGGACACTACCACAATACCTGAGCACCTGCTGCCCAGGGAGGCTTCCCACCCAACACTGACACGTGCATGGACACCTGCACACTCCACAGGAGCCCCTGGCAATCTCATACCAGGGTGGGGACCAAAGAGCAGTCCTGAAGCCAGGGACAGGTTGGGTCTGCAGGCTTGGCCTTGGGCCTAGGACCTCCATGGGTTTGCACAATAAAGCATCTTTATTCAGTGGGCAGTTGTTAATCACATGAGCACCTCTTCCTGCGAGGCCAGCCCCCTCCCTAGCCTGTTCAGTAGGGGCCACTTCTCCACAGGTCCTGGCATTATTTCTGGGCAGACATCTAGCCACTCCCAGGCTACTCTCAGATGCTGCGGTCTCCCCAGGACACCTCCCCACATTCTTTAGAACTGCCCTGGAGGTGAAGGCCAGCTCCCAGGGCCCACATGGACCCACAGATGCTGGGCTCAGGCAGTGTGGAGTCTGCCTAGTCAGCAGGGCCACTGTTCCATAAGCCTCTCTGAGGCAGGAGGGTCAGGCAGGATTGAGCTGTGACCTGGAAATGCAGTGCCTAGCCACGAATTGCCTAAGAATGTCCTGCCAGAGTGTTGCTGCAGGGTCCAGGCATTCTAGAAGGGGTTCAGTGAGGGAGACTTAGAAAAGCTAGAGTCTAAGGCTCTGAGCCGTGTAGGCCCCTCAGCCTGAGAGCGCCACCTGTCTTGAACTGCCAGCTTCTGAAGGAACCTCCAGGTGGGTGGCTCCCAGGTAGCTCAGACAGCCTGGCTCCAGAGAGGGGCAAAGGCACTTGGAGAGTGATTCCCTTTGCAGCGTTGGGCATTAGGGGTGTGATGGCTGGTTGGGGTGAACTTTGGCAGTCACCTGTGCTGCTAAGTGGAGAAAAGATGCGGAGGGACCAAAACAAGTGGGTGGAGTTGGCAGCTCAACAGGGCAGCATGACTCCAGGCCCCATGCCCACTTCCTGCCCAGCACTCTGACCTCTTCACCTGTCCACCCTGGACTGAGGGCTGCTTGGGGCCACCTCCTAGCTCCTTCTGTCTTCCTTGCCTCAGGTCAAGGATCAGGAGCATTCCTGCAGCCTCTGCCCTGTGGCCACGTGAGATTATGCAGGGTGTGCCAGCCCTGCAGACCATAGGGAGCAAGACCCTGCCTCTGTAGACACACCTGCCCCTGAAAGAGGGAGCAGGTGCCCATGAGTCCAGCCAGCCTGGTCTGGAGTAGGCAGTGTGAGGAAGCCACAGCTCTGAGGTCTCCAGGTCCTTCATGTCCTTTTATAGGAAATGGGACAAGGGGAGGAAGAAAAAAAGCCCAGGGCCAGGAAGGTCCCATCAAGCCATGGGCATCCTTCAGAAGGCAGGACAGCCACCACACTGGGCCTGCCTGGGTCAGGGCACTCACCACTACAACTGGACAGGAGGGTTTCACACCTGGACCTGGGGCTGTGGACAAAACCCCACAGAAAGGGCAGCAGCTGAGGGGTTGGGGTTGAGGCTCAGTGGTAGAATGTTCACCTGGCATGTTTGAGGCCTGGGTTCAATCCTCAGCACCACATAAAAATAAATAAATAAAGATATTGTGTCCGACTACAACTAAAAAAAAAGGCAGCAGCTGAGGCTGGACACAAGGCCCATTGTTGCCTGGTCCACCACCAGGAAGAGTCCCCTCAGTTCCTCAAAGCTAGGGCAGGGCCTGTTGCAAGCAGCCCCTTTCCCGAGTGAGTGTGCCATCACACCTGACGCTGAGCCCGGGAGTGCTGGGCAGACTTCACGTGGCTAAGGTTGAGTGACGGAGGCAGGACCTCCAGTTCTGTGGCTGTGAGCCCAGAGGCCCTGGACAGCTGAAGGTTCCGATGCACTTGCTGTGTAACAACACCTGGGTGAAGGGACATGGTGACCTTTGATGGGTGTCTGTTGAGAGACCCTGTTGCCTGAAGGGGGGACTAGAATGGTGGTCCTTGAAGGAGTCCCTCCACTGGGTGGAATTCACAGGTACCACCCAGCTTCCTTGTTGCCAGGAAATGGTGTGAGGAGTGGCCAGGGTTGGGAACCTGTCCCCCGCCACCCCACCACCCCACCACCCCACCCTGTCCTGGAAGAACTTGCTGCACTCTGACATGGGGCTACTGGAGTTTTCTTTGCTCCAGTTCTCGCTAGCTTCTGGGGCTCAGAGGCCACTTGGGTTCTGGTAGGTGTTGATCACAGTACTTCCAGCCCCTTGGGTGCATGTGTGAGCCACTTTCCTGATCACTGTGATTGAACTGGCGGCCGGGCCCCTGTGAGATGTCTTAGTGGGCTCAGTCATCTTCCTGAGAATGACCCAGTATTCCAGGTGCCCACCTGAAATGGAGGCACAGCAGAGGTGAGCAGAGCTGAGCACGGACAAAGTCCTGGGGTCACCTGGAGCCGCTGTGTCTAAAGCCAGGACTCTTTGTACTTGGATCTCCAGGATTCCCAGTTCTAGTCTTCCCAGCCCAGTTGACAAGGTTCTCTAGTTTTCTCAGGATCCTAACTCCACCTCATCACATACTGCCATCTCCAGCTACCCAGTGCCTGGTGCCCTCTCCTGGGTTCTCCTCTCCACCCCCAGACACTAATCCCTGCCATTCCCTGGATTTTCCAGCCGTTAGACCACTCTCACTCACTGGAGTCCCCCAGGCATGATGGTCACCGCCCATCTTGCCTGGCCTGGAGACCTGGGATCTAGCACATCCAGCAGGGAGGTCAGGCCCCGTGAGGGCCGAGCTGGTCTACCCCTGGCTTAGTGGGGGTGGAGATGGTGGCTCTTCCTTAAGGAAAATCAAGAAGTGTGGTGTTCACACTAAGAGCCCTAGAGCCAGGTCCCTTGAACCACCTGGGGCAGGGAGTCACCTGTTTGGAAGAGCAGCCTCACGGGTGAAGGCCGAGCTGCCGGCATCCGCTTGACGTCTCTTGCAGGTGTACCTGGGGCTCTGTCAGGGTGGTCCAGCTGAGGAAGGGCTTGCACACCTCCCCATCTGGCCCCACTCTGGGTGTTCTGAGAGGGTCAGGTAACCAGCAAGTCAGCCAGGGGCCCCAGGAAAAGGGGTCACACGGAGTGCATGTGGTGTCAAGGGAATGGTTAGCCCCTCTGCAAAATTAGATGGACAGGGCTACAGTCCAAAGTCTGGGCCATTGACCAAAGGCTTCAGTTATGGAACAGGGGCGGGGGGGGGGGCTTGGTTTTCTGAATCCCTCAGCCATAACAGAAAGTAACTCATCCTCTTGAACTCACAAGGAATCTGTAGGCCCACAGAGGTGGGTAATCCAAGAAAACTTGGGGAGTAGAGGGGCATGGGACCTGGGGTGTGGTCTGGTGGTACTGTGCCTTCTCGGCACATGTGAGGACCTGGGTTCTATCCCCAGACTGCAAAAGCAACTTGATGAGACCTGGTCTCAAAAATAAAAGGGATGGGGAAGTGGCTCAGTGGACAGCATTTGCTGCCATGTGTAAGGAGAGACCTCAGTTTGACCCCCAGCATGCCAAACAAAAATTTTTAAGTCATTATATTTTATTCTCAGGGAACATCCTAAGAAAACGACTTTACAAAATGCAGTAGAAGAATATGGTGGGGCACACCTCTAATCCCCAGGACTATGGAGGCGGAGGAGCAGGACAGCATATTTGAGGCTAGCTTGGACAATTTAGCAAGACCCTTTCTTGGGTGGGGGGGAAAGAACTGAGTGAGGATGTAGCTCAGTGGTGAAGCACTTGCCTAGCATGAGGCCCTGGGCTCCGTCCCCAGGACACAAAACAGAACAGAAATGCTATGATGACACCCTAAAAATTAACAAGTCTTACTATCATGAAATATTCACTGCTCAAATTTCCAATTGTCTTCAAATGTCTTCATATAGTTCCGTGCCTGAGTAAGCCTTATTGGAACACTTCTTCAAGTATTAGTTGTTAGTTGCTATGTCTTTTTTAATATTTTTTTTTTTAATAGTAGTTGGAGGGGGCTGGGGATGTGGCTCAAGCGGTAGCACTCGCCTGGCATGTGTGCGGCCCGGGTTCGATCCTCAGCACCACATACAAACAAAGATGTTGTGTCCGCCAAATACTAAAAAATAAATATTAAAATTCTCTCTCTCTCTCCCTCACTGTCTCTCACTCTCTCTTTAAAAAAAAATAGTAGTTGGACACAATACCTTTATTTTATTTATTTATTTATATGTGGTGCTGAGGATCAAACCCAGGGGCCCGCATGCACTTGCTAGCCAAACTCTCTACCCCTGAGCCACAATCCTAGCCCGCTATGTCTTTTTGAAGCAGCTTTCCCCCAAACTTTCACATGGTAACTACATCTAATATAAAATCTGCTGTTTCAACAGTGGTCCGTGTGCAAGTCAGCACCAAACTGGGTCCTGAAACCACTCTCTCTCTTCAGGTGCATAACTCTTTCATCTTGCAAAAATGAAACTCTGCCTCTGTGTCCTCTCCATCTTCCAGGCGCCTGGAAATCACTCTGCACTTTCTACAGAACTAAAATAGTAAACTAGAAACACCTATTTAGTGCCAAAGGAGATGGTAATAGAAGATTACAGGAGTGAAAAAGGTAAGATGCCCAGAAAACAGATAGCAAATGCCAGAAAAATCCTTCCTGAATCATCAATTAGATCAAATGTAAATGGACTCCCGGGCACTGGACCCAAAAAGTGTCTACAACAGTCTACCCAACCATGCCAGATACACACTCTGTTCAGGGGCACACGGAACGCTCCAGGACAAACCTGCGTCAGGCCACAGTACACATCTCAGTAAATTTAGAGGGATTGAGTTCTTGGAAAATCCACTGCCAAAGAATTCGCTGAAAGGTTGCACAAGACCAAAGGAAGCAGATGGCCCAGGGATTATATATAGTGCAATTTATTGGGGCCTCACTGACAGTAGTGTGGTCCTGGGCAGCAGCAAGGCAGGGGAACCCTGTTATTCAGATCAGAAGGAGGACAAAGTGACTTCATTCAAATCAGAATGTACCTCCTTTATCTCAAGTTTCTATAAAATAGGAGTGTCCCAGGAGGTAGGGGTGCAGGGTCCGTCACAAAGCTCCGTATTCTGCTCCCCTGGCTATGTTGGTAGGGAGTTGTGGGAAGCAGTTCAGAGAAAACCACCATGGCCCCTCGGGGCAGCCCTAGCAGTCCCACTGGAGGGAGCTGCAGGGTGAGGCAGGAGGGCCGCAAGAGCGGGGTGTGACTTAGTGGT